TCTTGAGTTGGCTGGTAAACTGAGGGGTAAATAAAGGTCGGGTATTGGACTACAATTGGCCTCACTCACATTGAATTGGGTTTGGCCAGGGTACTGATTCGAACGTGGACGGAACGTCGAATCGCTATTAGTAGATCGTGGATGTAAGCACAAGATACCTCCAGGCAGTGGCTAGTTATCGCTGCTAAATGCCGTTCAAAGGAGAGTTGGAGCTACGTTCGAGTCGTACTGTACAAAGACAAAGCCTGGATTGGAGGTCACCTTTCAGAGAAGAGGTTTGACCGTGACAGCAGCATAGCCACCATGATTTCTGTGATCGGAGTGCCGGGCCGAGTCCTAAAGCTGGGTCGATGAATTTCTATCCCAATCCCGATGCGACTGCATGAAAAAAGCTTCCACTGTAGATTCAATGTATAGTATTGAAAAACGGTTCCACACAGGATCCTACCAGTAGGAGGCGGAGGGAACCAAGGAAAAGATAGTCTCATTAGTACTTACGCAGGGCCCGGGATGTTCAAGCCTCGTGGAATCAGCGCTGTTCAGCGGGCTCCGTGACGCTTCCCGTTTCCCTAGATCCTGACTTGAGTACTCAAATTCCGACTTCCGGTTGTTTCCGGGCCAAGCCGCGTGGACATACTAGCCGGGTGATCCTATCATCTGGCACTTCGTTTCATCCACCATCGTCTCGAAGACTCGAAGACGACCAGCAGCTGCCAGTATGCCCTTCCCTTACCCTTCCCTCATTATGAAATCGACCAAACCTGATTATTGTAGATGGTCCGTTTTGAGGAACATCCCCTACGGCTTCTCCTGGATCCCAGTCTCCGAGACCCGTTGCATCAGGATTCATTGTGTATTCGGGCGATCTTTCTCATTATAACCACTATCGCGCACGACGGTGGACGTGATTTCGAGCAGCCTTCATTCCTCCGCCGGATCCTGGACTTTATTTGCGCAGCTTCTGAGGACGAGCACCTCGCGCGCCGGGAGCGGCTCATGACCTGCCGGTGCAATCTGCGCCGAACCATCATCTTGGAAATCCATCGGAGCTTGGACGTCGAGGCCACGGCAATAAAGTCTCTTGACCTCACCCTCTTCGTTCTGTGCAAACCCCTCTCTGCGGGCCTCGATAAGACGACCCCAGGGAAATTTCGCAAGCACAAGGAGGGTGTGCTTCCCGACTCCCAGCCTTGGCCAAGTGACATTACGGATATTCTACCACATGGAAAAAACCCTTCGGACGTTCTGGATGCCATCTTACTCTGGGCATTCGAGCCTGGACATGGGCAGATTTTCGCCCTCATCGACAGCCTCGCGCGTTTTTGGGAACCTTTTGCGGTCGCGTTGTTCCAAAGGCCGAGTGTCTTTTCTCTTGCGACTCAGCACTTGGAACACGCGATTGACACCTTTCCGGGGGGTGCCGTGGGCACAAACCGTCTCAAGAACTGGGTGCAGAGTGTGAATGGGATCACGGCATTTTTTCACAAAGTTTCCCTTGTCGACGCATGGGGCTCTTTAACCTTCATAAAACCGCTGCTGGATCAGATGAACTCGATTGAAGCGCGAATGTCGCCGATTTTGGATCGCTTGGGACCGGCCGTGATGGAGGAAACAAGCGAGTGGTTTGCACTTTGCCACCGCCTTGCGATGACCATAGCCACGGAACATCATCCCACGCCCCTCCCGGACAGAGGACAGTACGACGGATTGTATGTGGCCGCCTTCAAACAGATCTGGGAGGCGCGCAATAGGAACCGTTGCATGCACCCTGGCTGCGCTGGCTCGATAGAATCCCGCTCGGCGGTCTGCGCTCGGTGCGGTGTCGTCCGGTATTGTTCCCGGGAGGTGCGTTGTTATTCCTTCTTCTGTCATTTAGCGCGAACTCACTTCGTTGTGCAGTGTCAGAGAGCGTCGTGGAAGGGAGAACACAAACTCCTTTGTGGCCAGATCTACGCATTGCGTGTCGGCCTGAAAATGACCGACGCTACATCCTGGGAGGCTTTGGTTCTTGATACCAAGTTTGCAAGATCGATCGTGCAGCTTATGGACGTCGTCCAGCCGCACGCTCCGTACATTGATATCAACCTCATTACCGCCATTATCTCCGATTTCATGGAACTATCACGCGAACTGGGAGCCAACAATAATTAGATTACATATTGACTATATCGGTTTACCTCTTCTTCCTCGAATTCTCTGTCCCAGTCCCCAGCTTGTCAATCGGAGTTCTGTTAATTTAATCTACGCTCTCACAGTGAGGGTCTCACCCAAATTTCGGTTTCAATTTATCCGCGCCGGAACAGCTCTTTTATTCCGAGTAGTCTCGTCTTGGAATGCGGGCTTGGATACAGAATCACAAGTAGAGCAGCGCAGATACCAGATGAGTAAAGGTTAACGTTGAAGTCTTCAACTCGATTCACTGGGTTCTCGCCTCCCGATTGCGCCAACGTGCAACCGGATGTTTATATCGCTCGGGAAGTTATGCCGCCTTGGTTGAATGGGCCATTAGCCGTGCATATACGACCAAGGCGGGTCCCAAAACCTGTTGACCCTGTTTCTTGCCCCGGATGGAATGAAGATCGTTCAATACGTGAGGCACTAAATTTCTGCCCGTCAAAGGTGACATCGAACATCGACGGCGAGATTCCGCGTTTGGTGTTGCGATGTCGACTTATCTCGCCATCGCGTCGATGGATTGCTTGCACCTGGCTCCAAAATAGAGGCTCCCAAACCCTTCTATTTCGGCATTTTGGCGCAAATCACTCGATACGCAAGTAGTTTTTGAATACGATGAGTATTGGGATAATAATGTGCGCCCCCAACTGCTGCGCACACACTTGGGGCTCCGTGGAGTGGAGGACATCTTGGCTTCAGGCCGGGGTAAAGATCCCGCGGTTCAACAGCGCGAGTGCGGGTGGCTGTTGGAGTAGTTTGGCACATCCCGTCGGAGGAATCAAAACCTGTGAAAGAAATCCACTTCCAATACATTCCCGTTTGATTCGGATCCCGTTGAATTGTCCTCCGTTGGTTTCTTGGATTTTTTACTTGCGGGAAGGAATGGTGTAAAGAACGCAGAATGTGAGGAGAGGCAGAGGAAGGGGGAATAATCCACATGAACGTTGAACCAAGTCAGCCGAACGACCGCGTTAAACTTAGAGAATGGTTGATATTAATCACCATCTCCTGCCACAATATTAATATCTTGACGCCTGCTGACTGACCGGCTTCTGCTGACGCATGCTGCTTGCTGACTGTTAGACACGATGCTACAACGAGGACTATTAAAGGTCGGTAGAACCGTTTTCCTTCAGAGAGCAATGGTTTCTTCTGTAGCTATCGTTGCCGGTAATTATCTACTCTCTCCGGTTCTGCGACTATTAAACACGTATTCAGGGCTTGGGAACGGTTCGGGGACTGGCGGAGCTGCAGCGTATGTTTTTCTCCAATTTATCCTCCGTGAACGCTCAGTAGTTGCAGTCGCTTGTTTGCGAAGGAAGGATATGCTGTTGCGCTCATCTCGCGGGGATCAGAGTCTCTCAATGCACTGGCAAGCTCCATCAAAGAATCCGGCGGAAAGGTGCGCCATCGTTCGTGCCCGGAATCTTCCTGCTCTGATTTAGTTCAGGCGAACACCTTTCCCGTGCCAGCCTACGGCCCCGACGAAATCGGTGCTGCCTTTTCAGAGATCCACAAGCAGTATCCGTCGTCCGAATACGCCATCAAAGTTGCGATTTTCAACATTGGGCATACCGTGGGGGGGCCCTTCCTCCAAGTGACGGCCGAGGATATCCGCGAATCGAACAAGATAAACATAGAGTCGTCTTTCGCGTTTGCGCGTGGGGCAATTTTGGCCTTCCAGCAGAACGAAGTCACCACGACGGGGAAGGGAACGTTGGTCTTCACAGGGGCGACAGCGAGTATGCGGGGCAATGTCACGACAAGCGGATTTGCGTCTGGCAAGTTCGCTGTCCGCGCGCTCGCACAGAGCCTTGCAAAGGAATTTGGCAAGGAAGATATCCATGTGCGTGCGGTGCTGGCCTTTCTTTCCCATTTTGTTCCTGACATAGCGCGTGCAGGTTGCCCATGTGAGCCGCTGTCCTGCACTTTCTGCTCCGTAATGATATAACGTACCCCGGCCTTCAGGCTATTATTGATGGACGTAAGGTCAATTGAAGTGTCTCCTCAACCTTTCTAAAATTTTGAGCTAGGTGTTGCGACTGGAAATGTCCGTGGGGATAGAAACACTCCCCCAAGTGGGCCAGTTGAAAATCCTACTCCGGAGTTGAAACTGAGCCCAGAAAGTATCGCGGCGGTTAGTGCATTCTATGCTGGCTTCCATCCTAGTTGACTTTTTTCTTTTGTGCAGGCCTATCTCTATCTCGTGAACCAGGACAGGGCTGCGTGGACCTGGGAGCTCGACCGTCAGTGTTTTTTCTTTCAACTCGACTTCAAAAACTGAACCCGAGCAGTTCGTCCAGCGCATGAGAAGTGGTAAATATTTGCTTTGTGTAAGCATAGAGTTGTGTGCAGAGATGTGTATGTGTATTGCTTTCACTGAAATGAATCGCCTTCGCCTTCGCCTTCAATGATAACTCGCGGTCAGCCATGTGTTATTTCCCGCTCTTTGAACCAAAATTAAACAAGTTCGAATTCTATTATTCCTTGTTTGGCTCCTTCCGGGTGAAAACGGGTCGACGTTGAAGTTCTGAACCGGGTTCTTCCGCGTCAATATGCGCAACGCTTCAGAGAGAGTAGAGTAGACACATACCGTATGCCCCAGGGCCTCATCCCGATAGTTGGACTTGAAATTTGCGATTAAAATAAGATTCATAAATGTCAGTGTTATCTACCGCCAGTTGGTTGAAATTTGGGACTCACCGGCAACGCCCCGGCATGAAATAGATTGGTTTTGTCTCAGCTTGGGCAGGCGCGATACGATAACGAGGGCTTTGAAACCTAACTCTGTGGCCAAAAAACAAAAGTGCACCGACGGCTTCGTAAGACCCCGCCCGGATTCGAACCAGGCTCTTCTGCTGAATCGAACCTCCTCAAGCAATCATTAATCAAGCTTAATCAACTAATCAAGGCAGCGGACACATACCATATGCTACGGAGTCCTATTCTCTGAGGATAATAGTCTGCACTTGAGAAAGATGAATAAATTCAGTACTTCAGCATACTTGACCTGGTTCTGCTCGGAGGTGCCAGAGCTCTTTGCATACGGTGCGGCTGTAGCTTGTTTCAACGCGAGTTGTGTGGAAGAACAAAAAAATATTTCAGACCTCGCCAAGACACTGCCCGGATTCGAACCAGGCTCTTCCGCTGGATCGATTTTCTCGACGCAATCAAGGGGAGCGGATGCAGACCATATGCTACGGAGTCCCGTCTCTCTGAGGATGATTAGATTTGATGTCTACAATAAATTATTCTGTCAGTACCATGATTGAAATTTGGGACTCACCGGCAAGTTCCAACACCGCGGCCGGGGAGAGAAATATTTTGGGTTCACCGATATCGTATGCTACGGACTCATCCTATTTTCTGAGGATAATTGGGCTTGAGAAATCCGTGCCGGTTGCAAAGTACTGCATGCAGCAAAACGAGTCACTAAGACTTTTGAAAGACCCCGCCCGGATTCGAACCGGGCTCTTCCGCTGAATCGAATTTCTTGAAGCCATCAACGAATGCGGAGGCATACCATATGCTACGGAGTCTGTTCTCTGAGGATAAGCGGGCTTGAGGTCTGCTACAAAGTCGAATGTATTCCGTCAGTGCTCTTGCATATGGATTAAAATTTGACTCACTGCCAAGTTCCAATGCCGCGGCCAAAGAGAAAAAAGCAAAGTTGTCCCCCGTGTATGATATAACACCAAGAACTGTGCGACCCAAGTCTGTGGTCGAAAAAAAATGCGATCAGACGAGCACAAGACCCCGCCCGGATTCGAACCGGGCTCTCCCGCATCATCGTTTGGCTTAAGCAATACGGGGTCAAGGGTAGCGGAGGCATTCCATATGCTGCGGAGTCCTTGAGAATAATTGGACATGAGGTCTGCACCTGAGACAGCCAGTGCTACAGTTCAAATTTGGGACCCCGGGGAGAAATATTTTGGATTCGTCCTACGGAGTCCTGTCATGTAAGAATAATTGGACTTGTTAATCAGTCAATTGCTAGTGAGGTGCACTGCAATGCGAACCTGCTTCACGTGGATTTGAACATAGCTCTGCAGCAAAAAGAAGAGTCCCGAAGACTTCGAAAGACCCCGCCCGGATTCGAACCGGGCTCTTCCGCTGAAGCGGTTGGTGACCGGTCAGAGGCAATGGATGCATACCACATGCCACGGAGTCCTGTCTCTCTGAGGATAACATCTCGAAAACCGACATGACCGTTCAGAAGAAGGTCAACTCGAGGTACTCAAGCTCGCGCCAAAAACCCGCGGCCGTAACCACTGCCATCCACCGCAGGTCCGCACGAATCAAGTTCGAATTACAGTAATATTCGTCGAACACGACACAAAGCAACTACTCAATTTAAAAGGTCTGGTCGAAGGGAACGCGCTCGGCGAACACGAATAACGCGTCCGATTCCGAAGACGAATAGCAGCCGGGGCTACCCGGAAGGAAAGGCGCTCCGCAAACGAAAAAGAAGAGAAAAAGAGGGCGGGCAAGGAAACGACACGCACGGGGATCACAGTTGGCAGACTGAGCAGCAAGGGCGGGCTGAGCCTCGGCGGGCTTGCCGGCCTGGGCCTGAAAGTTGGGGTTGGTGCACACGCAGGTGGCGTTGTTGGTACATCAAAAAGAAAGACTTGCAGGCGGAGGCGGCAGCGATGCAGCCGAGGGCGTGGAGGCGGCGGCTTGGGGGCGGCAGAGGCGTGGAAGAAGAGTGACGTAAAAACGTAAGCGCTGCATCGTCATCATCCCGACGGCGATCTCCTCCTCTTCCTCTCTCAAGCCCATCCACCGACTCATTCTTCGCCACCCTCTTCCTTCGAGTCCTTCTCTTCCCCGGACCGACTCTACCCACGCCCGCTAGTACAAAGTACTTCGGTATGTACAGTAGCTGTCCCTGTCTCTCGCCGCTCATACCTCTTCACACCCCCCGTGGTCAGCAACAAGAGGATGCAGAAAAAGAGGTCCCAGGTACGTACCCTAGGCAATCACACTCGCGCATACTGAGCGCGCCTGTCTGTCCTCGCCGACCCATGACCCCGCTGTCGTGCCCACCCCGCGGTCCGCTCGCGCATGCTGCATCCTCCCGCCGCCTTGCCATCCCTACTAACGCCGTCCTGACCACTTTCATGCCCTCCCCTCTCTCGCCTTCCCCCTCGCCTTCGTTCCCTATACATTCCTCACCGTCCCCGCGCCCCTCATCTCCACCCATCCCGTACGACAACTCCGGCCGGCGCCGTAGTCCTTGCCCGCCGTTCTCGGCCAACGCGCACACGCACGCAAGGATCGCCGACGACTCGTTCTTGTCGCGCTGCCTTGCCGGCCCGACGTTCACCACACCGTGTTGTAGTCGAATATCGTTCCAACAATACACTCGTTTGCACGCAATTAAAATCACCTGTGGGATCGTTAACGCCGAGTGCTGGCTCGGATCATATTGGATGAGGGCGGACTTGCATGTAAGGGCTTTTGTCAATGGAAGGAAAATTTGTGTATGCGGTCGGGTCTATTGAAAAAACCAGATAGTGGCTTACTTACTTCGCGCGTAGATCCCGCCCTCGGTCAAGTAAAGTCAGGTACGAGATTTGGGGGTGAGGGTCTATCAAATAAAGACTAGCCGATATTACACGAGGTTAGCCGCTTGGACCCAACCCAACCCAGAGAGATTGAACCCAACCCAGACCGCTGAGTGTGAACGAAAAGCCTGGTGAACGAAACAAACGAAGGTCAGTAAGTACATGGAATGGAATGGAATGCGAACCTCGGGCGAGTCCGCGCCGGCGGCCGGCGCGAATGTTGGTTGAAATTGCGGCGCACACTCCCAGAACTAATAATCAGGATCGAGGGAACTTGAACACAATCGAGTGAGGACTCACGATGATGCGGGTGCCACAGGTAGGTTGAACTGAAGTTGTGTGAGTCTAGAAGGCCAAGAAGTCAGCGAGGAACTTGCCAACGAGTATTCGAACCACTATTAATTGCCGTCAACTCGAACATCCTCAAGCCACACCATTCAACGACGATCATTTAAACTCACTTCAAGCCGACATACGATGGGAACGGGACTCGAGGGAGGGCTCGAGGGAGGGCGGAAGGTATTACTCCCCGAGATATCGATGCCCGATTGCAAACTCTGCTCGGGAATTAGTGGATGGCTGGTCACCATCCATCGAATGAGCGCTAGGTAAGTTGTCTTGAGTTGTACTCATGACCTGGACATCGAAGGTCATTGAAGATTGAAAATATTATATTATATTACAGATGCAACACCTCGGCGTTGTCTGGCTTCGAGTCGAATAGGCGGTTGAGTATCCAGATGGTAAGTGGTCAGTGGTGTGTAGACCTCACGAAGCGATGTTGAAAGCCGAACACGCGTTGAAATCATGTCGAGTCCGAGTCCGAGTCGTATTGCATGGTGATTGAACGAGGTGCGTAATCACATACCAGTATACATACCATCGGCCCAAAGGTGCGTTATCGAGGTAAATGACCTCGAGCACATACCTGGCTTCAAAAATAACACCCTGAAGCGACGAGACGCCGTTGAATGGGTTGAAGGCTTGGAACGAACAGTTCGAAAGAAAATTGGGGTTCATACTGTTGCATTCAAACGGCCAGGGTAACAGGCAGGCATTGAATGACTTGAACCACTGGCATCTTATATCCACTTGAACGAAGCTCAACATTGCTGATAAAATCGAAGGCGGACGTACCTGGCATCGGCTCGGCCCACCAAGGACGCATACCCAGTCTTGAAGTCCACTTCATGCAAGGCCATTGCGGTGTTCGACTAACCTGAGGCGTGAATCTGAAGACAAGTCAATGAATAACCCGACGAAGCACTTCGAAAACTTGCCTTGAAGGTTGATTGATGCTTCAAAATGCGAAGGCTAGTCGGACATTCATTCAATAATAAATCAAGCCAAGAGAAAATCCAACAGTACTTACGACGTTGTGCCCGACCTAAAGTAAAGTAAAGTTGATCCCGACCACCTACTAGTCAAGGACAAGGAGCAATTAGACTAGATAGACACACCATGGGACCGTAACGATGATATGAGATGGACGTACCTCCTGCCGAAATACGCCGATAAATATGACTTTTTTTATCGCAGAATATTATTTGGTTTCGCAACGAGGTGATGAATGTGGTGGTCGAGCTGAGCAACACGTGATTTTGGTGGATCTCGTGGTTTGAGATTGTGGTTTTATCAGTATTTTGTGCACAGGAGTGGAGATTTAGAGGAATGATTGGGTTCCTTCAGAGAGAAAATGCTTTTCCATTCCCAGCTGACGGTCTTCGCGTTCACCAACGAAGTAAAAAAGACGGACCATCAATTCATGCCGATGTTCAGTTCATCATGAATTGATTTGCAAAAATGGTGAATGTCAGATGACATCAAATTAGTGTCCCCACGATAGTCGGTTGGTCCCAGGGATCACCCCTTCATCAGCTTTTTCTGTATGAGATCCTAGGTATCATTACACCATCCAGTATTCTGTATAAATATTCTACATGGCTTCCAATGGCCAGGAAAATTGCCAGATGACTTTTCTGCCCTGTGAAACGTCCGTGTCTGGTGTTTCTCCACCTTATCACACATTTTAAGCACTAAATTGGAGCCTTTCGACTGATGAATGTCAGACCAGCTGTTGCAAGGGGAAACAACATTTTTCGGCCTCCTAGGCATTTTGCTTGGCCCGCGGTTGTATTAAAACACGGTTTGTTTAGGTTGTGATAAGGTGTCATGTGACCGTGAAACCGATCAAGAAGTAATCAACATGCCATAAGTTGGTTGGTTCTAACCATTGTCTTGTCTGCGTCGCAAACTCCGGACCACGTCCAGTGTCACTCATCTCTCCTTTCCCCCCGATGCCTGAAAAGGGTGTTGTTCAGCTCTTCGAACGCGAGATTGGCTGGGAAGAGCGCCAAGTCTCAACCCAGGTCGACAGGACTATTGACTCTAATTTCTTCGGTGTCTCCTTTCGTACATTCCTTCAACCATGGCTTATCAGTCACGAGGTGTATTTGTTGCCCATCCTAAGTGCTGTGCTCGTCCAGATGGCACTTGTACTACCTTTACCCCGTACCACTGCGGGCCTGCTGATCTGGATTTCACCCCAATACCAGGTGGCCCTCCTCTGGGCCAGCGTAAACTGTGTGCAGAATTTATCAATACTCTGCAAATTACCGGTCGAATTCATGCCAAAGCCCGTGGCAAAGAACTTGTTATCGCAATCTGTAATTCTCTCACTCACAAAAATGTCGGTGGATTGTTTCATTTTGTGTTACCATGCTCAACATATTTCTCAGTTCATTTTCCACATTAACTTCGGGCTTGAGGCTCATTGCTTCTGGATGCCTACAGAATGGTACCAAAACATTGTCTCCCGCCCTCCTGTCCCGCGGGGCGAGAAAAGCTTTGCTTTCATTGTGCCCTCTGAGTATGTCGATGAGCCAGCACGTCAGCTTCTCATATTGATCCAAGCTGCCTTTGTGCGGCCCGAGTGGACCCTGGTTTTTGTTGACCACAACGTTATGATCCAATTTCCGCTAATGCAGGTGTCCGAGTCCTTCCTCCTATCCGATCTCACACCAACGAGTAAGGTCATCTTCTATCTCTTCTATCCTACCCTCTATCTGCAGTGAACTGACTAGCTGTTCAGATTTGTTTGGAGTCGCACACACGGGCCCGTCTACCATCTTGAGCCTCAGGCAACTCAAGGAATTCCTTCTTACACATCAGTTCCACCGTGGTAGTCGGCCGCCCTGTTTTGTTCAACTGATTGATCCATTACACACACAACCAAATAAATGTTTTGGACCGCCCCCACAGTTGTGCCATCGTTCTGTACCCGCGTATTCTGTCTAAGCACTCTACACATCCTTAGGACACTCAAGGGATTCCTTCCTAAGGATCAATTCCACCGCAGTGGTCGCCCCGCCGTACTTTGTTCAACTGGTTCATCCAGCAGACACACAACCAAATAAATGTTTTGGACTGCCCCCACGGTTGTGCCATCCTTCTGTACCCAAATATTCATTCCAGGGATTATATCCAGTCCTAAAACACTGGGGGAATGCCCTCAATTGCACCGCGGTAGTCACCCACCAACACAACATACCCAACAAATGGATATCCCCTCATCCCGCCTTTCGTGCGACATCCAATGTG